GTCCTGAACCATCCCTTAGTTATGCTGCTATAGGCCTAGACTGCCGGGAGATTTCCTATGATGCACTGAGCTCCTCTCTCCTCTACTTTCTCTCCCTCTGTATGCAACCTCATCCCATTATTGCATGTTACTTACACAACTTCTCCCCTTTCCGGTAGTCTTGTGCTTTCTCGTCCCTCTCCTCTCTCCTATCACTTCCTGCAGGTGTTTCTGGCTCTGGAGCTGTGGAGTCTGGATCTGTGGCTGCGGGTCACCTGCTGCCCCCGTGTTCCTGCTCGACACCCTCTGCTACAACTATTGTTACTAGTCCTATTGTTATTATAATCATTAACATTACGATTGTTATCATTAACACTACTATAAATATCTGTACCATTTTTCATTTAGTGTATAGCAACATCACCTTTACTTTCTGTACCTCTGTGTGTGTGTGTGTGTGTGTGTATATTGTGTAGGCTGCCTCCCTCCCCTCTCACTCCTTCCATCCCTCTCTTTTTCTCTGTTCCTCTCCTGCCCTCTCTCTCTCTCTCTCCCTCTCCCCCCCCTCTCTCCTTCACCCCAACCAGTCGAGGCAGATGGCCGCCCACCCTGAGCCATGGTTCTGCTCGAGGTTTCTGCCTCTTAAAATGAAGTTTTTCCTTGCGTCTGTCGCCTAGTGCTTGCTCTTGGTGGGAATTGTTGGGCTTCTGTAAATAGCATCATAGAGTACGGTCTAGACCTGCTCTTTTATGAAAAGCGCTGTGAGATAACTGTTGTTGTGGTTTGACGCTATATAAATAAAATTGAATTGAAATTGAATATAGGTCAAGGTAATCATCAACAATACACTTATAAACACATATAAAGTGCAAGCTTGACATTACAAAGAGGAAGGTTTTATGTCTGATAGATAGGGGTTGTCTGGTACCATAGCACACTGCTCTGGTTTTTCACCAGCTTTGGTGGCTCAGAGTTCAATCAAAGGTGCATATTTTGCTGTAAAAAACAGAGATGAAATTATATTTTGTGTGTCTCTGAATTCCCAGTTATACAACTCTAGCCTGGCAGCAGAAAATTAACATTGTAGTTGTTAGTAAATTGCACATTCATTGCGATGTAGCATTAAAGTTAGTTGCTTTATAGCAACATATGAAAACATGAACTGAACATGAATACCCAATACCGATGCTTTCAGAAAAATTGACAAAGCGTAGTTGTTTGTGGGAGACGCTCCCGGATGCATCTCGTACAGACTAGAAGTGCTAGCTAGCTAGCTAGCGCTTGTGTTAAAAGGTGTTGACAGCCCCCAGAAACCCCCTACCCTTACCATAACCATCAGCAATGTTAGTGTCTACGGACGCTGAAGGGTACCTTTAGTGTATCATGCTGTCTGAAAGCGTTGGTAATGATGCACTGAGATAAGAAAGCGTTGGAATACCTAATCCAAATTCAATGGCAATAACATTCGGTAGTGTTTTTTTTTTAAATTTAAAAGTAAAAATGTCAACCTGCTGGTGGCTCTAGAGGATAATTCGGGGATCAGTAAAGTCATTAGGATTCTTCACATGGTGAACATGAATGTAATTAAGCCAGCGGTATTGAGTCATAGTTGTGAAGAATATGTGCTTGAAGTTCCGGCAGTGAGGTTGTTCATGGTACTCCAAAGAATTATACAAACCCTTTCAGTCTAATACAAGTGTGATTAACAAGCCCTACTAATAGTGCTGCTTTGGCTTTGATGACTTCATTTAAATGCAGAGACAGGTACAAGTATGTGCTTAGAGCTCTCCAAAGTACTAAACCCCAGAACTCCTGTCACACAGGGACAAAATGTTTCTCACCATGCCTCTAGACATGCAGTTCTGAAATGTATTTTTCCCATCAGGAAAGTCTAGACACTTAAAAGTCTACATGGATTTTTTTGGGAGCATTACTGTGTCTAATATCTGTATCCAAATGCTGATGTTTTACTGTACAGCATCTTAATACTGTCTACTAACAGTATGCAGGATTATGAGATTAGCATTGTCAGTAAAGTAAACGCTGACCTAAGCCTGTCAGAACTGCTTCAGTGAGCTAAAGGGTAAAACAGAAACAGAGACAATGTGTACGTTTACACAAACATGTGATGACAACTGCTCTCTCTTCTCATCAAGCTTCAGGCTTGACTGGTTGTTAACATACAATATAAAGTGAGTTAAGTTAGCCACACAGCTGAAGTTTTTGCACTGTTAATGGCCTCCAGCAACAATAAGAAACATCGTTTAGTATGGTTAGGGTGTGTTTAGGTTGGTTGAGGGAAAGATCGTGGTTGTGCTTAATAAAAACTCCACCACTTATACTTTACAATCCTGCTTTGAATTGCTTTAATTTATTAAATTTGTTTTAATTGTGACGGTGGGACATTTTACAGTTGAAAAATCAAATTGTCAGTGCTCTGTGGTGGACAAACTGTGTAATGTTGACACAGTTTCTAAATTACTTCAAACCTAGTTTGGTATTTTTGTACTGCATTTTCTTGTCACTTATCGTCTGACATATACACAAATACAGATACGTACATCTGCAATAAGTTAATATCAACCAATATATAGGCCTGGCTTATGTCTTGCATGAAACTCTGATGTTCTACACGCCCATCCATAATCCAATCTGTTAATAAACTTTTACTTATAGTTTAGATTTACACTCTTTATATTTACATATTATATATTTGCTGCTCAAATATTATTTAATATTTATTTATTAAATAAAGTTCTATCTTATCTTATTGGTCCAACCTCCACATCCCTCGTGCATGTAATTACTGGGGATTCTGCACTGAATAATGTACAAGCCATTGGGTATCTTGAATACCAACCTTGTGTCACACCGCCATTTTTGGATAATGTTTAACTGTAAATGTGGTCATACAGTGGGTCAGGTGGAGCCATGACCAGGAACCAAACCTTAAAGTTGTCAGTGTAATCCTTCAAACTGGCTTATTTAAGAGAACATACTTCCTATAATATTGGTAAACCATGCAAATCTTAAAATTCTGAGCGTCAAGGGATCCAACTTTAAAGGATTATAGGGACGTTAGATGCTGAAACTTTCCTGCCACGAGGATGCCTTGGTTACAGGGGATTAAACATTGATCATTTTAAACACAAGACGACAGGCACAAAAATAACTCTTTTTTTCTTCAAAGAAAAAAATCAGAGCAGCACTCTGTTTTATTAAAGCGCTGCAGTTACCTTTCATACGTGTCTAATCAGAACAAGAGCTACTAGACAACCTGTATTATGTCTGTCACCAAGAAAAAGAGTGTGCATGTATCGTGACAGCTGGTAGAGCAAAGCTAGGAGTGCTACAGGCAAGCCGAGCTTTTCTAGGCCTAGCATGACATAGGATCTGGGGGATGTGGATGTAGTGAAGCAGGGCTGCCGAAGGCCAAACTCCAACTGGGAAATAACTGTACTAGCAATTCTAGTCGGCTGGAGCACTGACAAGATGTAAAGTGGGTCAGAGCAGAAGTGTTTGTGTGCACTCATAAATCCATCTGCTTTTCAGTCAGTGTTTCAGTTTCTAAAGCTCTGTGTTAATAACTATAGTTTCTGTTGTTGTAAGTGGAAACTGACAATTCTTAATTTATCAAATTTCTCACAAATCCCTTTAGCTAAGCTGGTGGAAACTTCCATATTGCTTTCTTTGGCATATACTTTCCCCCCCCTTAATGAGCTGCTGTGAGCTCACAGTCCGCTGTGATGAGAACTGTCAAACTCCAGAGTCAAAACAAAACAAGAATTCTACAAGAAGATTTACATGTTTATCTCTCCTCTTACATCTACCAGGGTGGTTTCAGAATGGGATTTACTACATCTGCAACTAAAATAACTCCAATTGTACACACTGGGCAGACCTCCAGAACAATCAAGACACCTCAGAGATAAGTGTAATTTTCTCCCACATCACAAGTGTGCGACTTTTGGACGACTGCGAGATAAACAGTATACATATGACGTTTCAAAGTAAACTACCAGGAATGTGCACTAGCTTGCATGTGACTGGCCAGTGCAGTGCCTTTCTGGATGACGTCACATTGCAGAGCAGCAAAAGTTCATCTTTATTTTGCCGTTGGCGCCCCTGCGGCTTCAACAGACTGGCTCCACTCAAACAAATGAGTAAATACTTTTTTTTCCACATACGGCTGAACTTCATCTGATTGTGGCCATAGTTTTGTTACTATTTGATGGCGTTCAAAAGGAAAGGTTAAAAAAATAAGGCAAATATATTGTTTTGTAACTGTGATCGCTGATTAAAGCTCGATTTAATTAAATTCATGCAAGAAGTCAAACAATCATCCTGTGCCTGCCTGTAAATGTCAGTGAAGAAACAGTATTTATACATGAGATGGACATTTTGGAAGTGGAAGTGGAAAAATATATTATACAGCTTTTTAATCTACTTTGTACAGTACCTTCAGAAGGTGTCTTCCAGGTTGTTCCACTGGCATAAACAGCACCAGAAATGTTTGAAAATTAAACCCTGCTCTTCACAGCACACCTGCATCCAATTACACTCAAAGGGTCTGATCAGTCTTAATCATCAGAGTACAGAGTTGGATTATATACCTTGCAGACATGAAAACGCACATGTGAGAACTGCACTTTAGTGTTAAGTAGGTGTGCATTTAACAGCTTCAGGATTTCATTGCAGACTCACTGAGAGTCATATTTAGAAAATACGTATTATGAAATTGGAATGAGAATCACGTTTTATCCTGGGCCTGTTCATTTCTTGGATAAATTCTTATTTTTCAGTAGGCCCCACATGCTTTGATCAAATGTTAAGCCTAATAGATGTTACAGCTGTCTTGTTGGGTATTTTTGTAAACAACACTTGAAAAATAAAAATAACACTGATGTCAAGCGAAGATGCCTTTCTTGTTCACATAATGTGCTTGTGGTCTTAATGCTACGCTCCCTCTCCTTTCATTTTTTCCCAATCTATAGTAATTTGAAATGTTTTTGCCTCCTTAGATTCTTTGTCAACTTCCCATCTGCCAAGCAGTACTTCAGCCAGTTCCAGCACATGGAGGACCCCGAGGAGATGGAGCGAAGCAGCCAACTTCGGCACCATGCCCGCAGGGTGATGAATGCTATCAATACTGTGGTGGAGAACCTCCATGACCCGGAGAAGGTATCGTCAGTGCTGGCCCTGGTGGGAAAGGCTCATGCTATCAAACACAAGGTGGAACCCATGTACTTCAAGGTGACTTTCATGGAATAATCCTCTGTGTGGTGCTAATTGAATTATGCCACATTCTGCTTTTCTTTGGTCAGGGATTTTTTGTATTTCCCAGAATTGTCCTCAATCCAATAAGATACATACATATGCACAGGGGTATAGGGGTGTTGTTTCACTGCTAGGTGAAGATGTGTTGCATTCTCATTTTGGCCACTTGATTGGTACTTGGTACTTGATTGGACCATAGAACAAAGTAGACTCTGTTCTGAAAGACATTTGTTGAGTGCTCTTTGTTGAATAGGTAACACAGTGGAAGTATTTTCTTGCTGCAGCAGCCCCTTGGATTACCAAAGCACCCCAGTGGCACCCCCCAAAATGTTCTCATTACCAATCTAATATCACAGGCGATTCTATTACCTAGTTAAATTTACTCAGGCCAAAAAATGGTGTTATATGCTAAGAGTAACTTAAAGTCATGCCATATATAAAACAATGTTAGAGCAGCCCACAAGTGTAAAGTATTTTATGCTATGCTAATGCATAGAAGAACTGCAACTAGTAAGAAATGACTTTATAGTTTACAAAAGAGTAAATGAGCAATGATCATGAATTAGACTTAGGCGGTTAGAGTGAAAAATGTATCTCATAGCAGCCAATTCCAAAAAAAGTTAATAAATGTTAAAGTCAGTGCTGATAACCTTTTGAGACAGACTGTTTAATTTAGACCATATGGTTGCGTAATGTTTAATGTGAAACTCCAGTATGATTCCCTCCCTCTGATTGAAGAGTATGAACCGTATGCTTCCTCCCTTCAAGTCTTTTGAATGTCATCTGCAGTTGGTTCATAAATGCAGCTGTGAAGAAGAGAACAGATTACCACCATTTAAGCATCCCCCTACTGGCTTCCGAATGCCTTTAGAATGTGTTGTAAGATTTAATTGATCTCTTTGTGAATAAATCATTAAATAAGTTAGTAACAGTAGGCAATCGCTGTGTATTCCCTGAACTTTTAATCCCTTATGTACACATGTGAACTTCTTTGGTCATTATTTTGTCATGTCCTGTCTTATCAGGATGGGGATATCATTATTAGCACTGAAACATTTATTGGTATTAGTTAAATGCTTTAAGTTGTTTGTCACAAAAACAAATCCAAACATTTTAAGCTCCTCAAATGTGAGGAGTTGATGTTTTTTGCTTTTCTGAAGTTGAACATGTTCTGGATATTATGGGCTGAACTGACAATCTGAATCAAACTGTATTTAAAAAAATTAAAATAATAAATATGGCCGCACCCTTAGTCATCATATGACAAGCCTAAGACTTCGCCAGCTTCTGAACGTGCAATTTCCTGAGCTTTAAGATCCATTTCTTAGAAATACTAGTTTGCCATAAAATTACAACATACAAGATCCAAAATATTGGTTGCAATGAGGGTTGGAACAGAGCAGGCAGAAACCCATAAGCTCGACTTCTAATTTTTAAAGTGGGGTTGTATGGGGGACTTTGGGAGGGAGTGGCTGGATCTGAAATGACAATAGAGTCAGTAACAGGAATGATCAGGGAGCATTCGTAAGGTACCTGTTTTCTCCACTGCTTTCAACCATATCGCATTGCTTTCCTTAGTGCATGGAGTTGCTCAGTTGTCTCAGAGATGGTTTAGTTTGTTGTCATGTGACATAAGAATGGAATTTTGGTGACATGATAACAGATATATATAGGGGAATCTTACAGTACCCCCTCCACATATGACCTGTTATTACTTGAAAGAAATCCCATTGAGCTTTGACTGAAAGCATTGAAAACACCACTTAAATGGACCTTGTGTTAAGAACTTCTTTGCCAAAATGCAACTTATTCTTTTTGCAAAAGTTTTATTGCCAGACAAAAGTGAGAATTGAGTTTTAAGGTCCCCAGTTCTTACAGATTGTGTACTACAAATTAATGTCATATTTCATTCTGTAGCGTTAACACCACGGCTCACCACATTTAAATGCACATCCTCTACCTTTTTGCTTTCTATTTATATATTTTTTTCTCTCTCTACTTTCTACATTTCCATTGCCTTTGTATCGCCTGTCCACGCACTGCTTTCATGTTTTACTGTTATCATTTTCAATTCTCACCTGCCTCGCCCACTTTTCTGTAACAGTGAATTGAATGCTTTATTTCCACTGCTTTGCTCTCACTTCACCAACTGAATACTATTTCTCTGCATTACTCCCTCGATAGCCACATATTCCCACTCTTTATATCCCCCTCTCTTTCTCATACTTTTAACTCTTTTCCCCAAATGAATCAAGTTTCTTTCTCACCTTCCTCTTTCCCAGATCCTGAGTGGCGTGATGCTAGAGGTGTTGTCTGAAGATTTCCCAGAGTTCTTCCCAGCAGAGGTGCAGATGGTGTGGACCAAACTGATGGGAGCAGTGTACTGGCATGTGACAGGGGCCTATACAGAGGTGGGCTGGCTCCAGGTCTCCAGCTCAGCGGTGTGAAGCGAAGAAGAGGGGTTCAGGAGTTTTCTGTGAGGATGGTTTTTACAGATATGGATAAGATTAACGTGGTAATTCGTGCAACTCTGTACTTTATTTTGGTGCTGTGGTGTTTGTACATCGCGCCATCCAGAGATCACTTGGACACCAAACAATGTAGCCAGACAACATTTTACTTTTCTCCTAATGACGTTCTAGCTTTATTGAAGAGGTGCTTTGGTCTGTGTGTTTAGCCACAGAGGCTATCACTGCTAATGCTAACTATCCAGTTCTTCTACTGTTTTTTTCCAAACAAACTGCTGTTAGTGCCAGAAGCATACAACACATCACTTCCTGTTTGGCATGGGACTGTCCCCTTTACTGAGCTACCAAGTGTTTAGCCAAGAATATTAATAAACTGATAGATTGATTTACTGGTCTGTTACATACATTGACAACTGACCCTTTGCTAAACCCTGTCTGACATAGTTACTGCTGCTAGGCCTGTTAAGCTTTCCAATCTAGCACGCTACATATGCAGTTTACAATAATAATGGCGACAGATTAACCTCTCAAACTTCTTAGTAGTCTTAGAAATAATGGTCCCTTGATTTCAGACAAAGGTAGGCTTCTTATTTCCAACTGAACGCTGTTAATTTTGCCACCCGTAATAACAACGGTTGCTAGCAGATTTAATCCACTATCGCTACCTACAGTAGCCAATTAATGTTAGCTAGGTAAGTTATTTGATAATGCTGTCTCAAACCAATTTGTTTTAACAAAAACCCAGTAAAACAATCATAAACATGCACTTGAAGACTAGCTACATGAGCTGATGCTAAAAGGCTAAAGCTACATGTCCAAGTAAAGACAGTACTAGTTGATGATACATGTAGAACTAATGGAAACAAAGGACCAGTTTTGCGTGTAGTTAGTATCATCTAGTATTATGGTGCAATATGATAAGTAAGAATGTGAAAAGAGTTTAAGGGAAATGAAAGAGCATCATAGTATCCCTCTGGACTGGCTCCACTGTGGGGTAGGCTACCACTACACAGTGGATGTGTCGGTCCTGAACGGGGCTTGTTCAAAACCTCTAAACCTACAAATTAATGTAGTTAGTTATTAATATCCTCCAGGATCTTCTAAGTAATGCTGGGTTAAGTTACTACCGTATGTGGTGTGCTAGTTAGAACGACATGCAAACATTTGCTGCTCAGGTTAGTGCAGACTAACAAACTAATAATATACTGGTATTGTATTTTGAATTTTGGAGAGGTGATAAGAAAAAACACACACCACCCTTCAAACTCTTGAATACCATTTATTGCTCTAGTCAGTCTCATGTGGAGAAATCCAAAGCTTGACAGGCCTGCTGTGCCTAGTTTCAGATAATCTAATGTTATGTTGGCTGTTCAGGGGACTGTTTGGTGAATGGTCAGCTGGGCATGGCAGACACAGACATTTATTATACAAAAACGTTGCGGATTATTACTTAACAGAGTTCATTTCTGTGGAAACCTGCAGTGACAGAAGCATCTTTCGGCTAAACCGCACACATGAATACACCTCATGATATTTTGAAAGAGAAATTGAAAGAAATGTTTAGACAAGAAGTGATATTTAAGCTCTGAGAGGGGGGCAGGTAGACGCCCCGGCAATGGGACCATGGAGCTACTGACTGTTAATAGATTCTCTTTGTGTCCTACTGCAGTATATCCTCATGTTTAGGGGACCTGAGCCCCTTTCTCACTCTATTGATGCATTGTGTGCTCTTAATGTCTTGTTTAACTTTACACAGGTGTTGTTTGTATAAGTGTACAGTGGGCAAGTGTGCATACTCTTCTGCCTTTGTTTACAACTCATTGACACGTTGATCTGTTGACATGTTAAAGAGGGCTGTTTATTCTTTGCTAAAAGTCTTGGACTAGCAGCAGTGCTTTACGTTTTTATTTGCCTATCATTACACAAACGCTTACAACATTGTGAAAGTGAGATGGAAAATATCAGCAGGTGGACACAATCAGCAACCACACATGTATACATTCACATGCATGCTATAAGACCTCCCATATGCTAGTATTTACAGCACTGTCAGTTTGTTTACTTCTTCAAAACCCCATCAGCGAGACGTGCTGCATTAAAGCTCCATTAAGGGCTTTATAGAGTCACTCTGGAGGTCTGCAGAAAACATGTCAGCTTTAGAAGTGCCATCAGGCTGTTTCTTTAGATTTCTAACATCTAAAGGATACCCAAATACATACAAATACATGAAATGCAGTTGTACTGCCTTTGCTCTAACACAATGGATGGAATTTTTTCATGTTTGAGGTGGATGCTTAACGTCAATTTTTCCTCACAGTTTCTCTCTAAACTCATGCAGACGTCATCTTCAATTATCTGCACCTCCACAAACATGCAGCATACTGTCAAACAAACTTTCTTTAACTTACTTAACCTCATCTTATTTGGATTGCACGCAGTCCCCATCTGTGAGCCCCTTTCTAGTCAATTTCCCAAACATATACGCAAATCTGTTTAGGATGGACATTTGATTCAATCTTCAGTTTGCATCTGCTCCTGTGACGTCCTAGTTCTCCCATCTGACCCCCCTTGGCATCGGCATCTGGCATTAATGAGGAAGTAATGAGTCTCCTCTCCTCCTCATTTGGTCATTCATCTACTGTAACTTCCCACTGCCTCCGTTAGGGCCGTGTCACTGAGATCAAAAACAATTATGATTGGACAGATGGTTGTAAACCTACCACACCGTGTCAGCCAGTCACAACAACGCTTTTTAAAAATGTCTTTCATACACATTTAGGAAAATTTGTTTAGCACAGTTACATTCAAGAATAAATACCTCAAATAAAACATGTATATAGTGTATGCTTGAAGTGATTTCCTGAAGGTATTAATTACACATTACGCCTTGACCTAGACCAGTGGTCTCCAAACTTCCTTCCTACCCCCCAACATGAATTGAATTTGTATCGAACAGGAAGAATATTGGAGAAACTATTCTAAGTATTACTAGCAAGAACGAGAACTGCATGTTTTTCATTAGTTTCTGCTGTGCAAATGAAAATTGTAAGTTAAATTTTGCTCAAATGGCCAGAGTTTATGCATGTGCATAAATAAAACATAATGCTCATTAATTTAACTAGTGATCTTGAGGTAACAATAGTACTTGGCTTCAGTATCTGTAAAAGCCTGTCATTTACATCCAACTTGCTCAGACTATGTTTACTAAGAGCTCCCATTAAACGAGTTCCTTTTTAAGTTGAACTGGAGAGTCGTAAGCCTACAATATGCCTCACAAGTTAGACAAGTGTATAAAAATACACACAGGGGTCAAACAAACCTCAAGGTAAACTATTTCCACTTTGGCTCAAACAGCTTTGGAGGCAGTAAAGCTGTTTTCAGCCCATAAAAGATCCGTTTCAAAGTACACACCAGTCCTATTCTTTGCCTGACTTCTGACGTCAGCGTCCCTCTGAGGTCAGACCTCAAACAGCTCGAGGTTCAGAAATATTTTCAAGCACAATTCCCCCAACATTTTGTATATTAAACACTTTGTGGTATGAGACCCATCTGCAAACACACACGATGGAGACGTACTGTTGCTCTTCCTAAGCTGCATGTTTTGTGTTCATCTTCCTCTATATGCAGCATGTTCCTCGTCACACAGTTATGTACATCCAAATGATGCTCACTCACTTTCTTTATCACACACTCTCACAAATGCACACACACACGGTTGCATTAAATTAGAAGATTCAGGCATGTCCTCGCATGCCAAGTGTACTACAGCAGGACTTAATCGGATATGTTTTGTCGATCATTCTAAGCTGAATATTAGACATTAATTCATTTCACGCATTTATTCTCTTTCAGCAAATAAGGGCATCACAGTATATGTGGAACTGTGTGTTTTTGTTGTGAAATGTTTCTGTCTATCAGTTGAAAAGTTAGGACTTTATATTTTTCTAAATATATCCATGAGAAGGATTCTGTGTATTTGAATACTGTATATGAATATGTCATTGTATACTGCGTTGTTGGTGGGAGCGAGTGCAGTGGCTTTGTAGTGTTTTGAGCATGTTTGCACAGCCTACCACAGACTTGTACCATTGCAGATCTAGTGAAAATGAATCATGACCATCAATAAAATATAATTACATAACTTTGTCTCTGTCTTCCAATTAGTTTTTTTTAACAATATATAATACGTTTGTTAGATGATCCATTTGTAACTTTTTGCTTCTATGCAGACAGCCAACAAGTGCGAGATCTCAACATTCAGGCCAAAATTAATCAGAAATATCATTGGTGAAATGATGAGCACTCAAGTTACATAACCTTGTCTATTCAAAACCAATTTCCTTCATGCTCACCAGAAAATGTTACATTCAGGTTACATCACCTGGAAAAGATTATGCATGCATTTGAATATTTGACTAAATTTTTTTAAAATCTATTCATCGTCGTACAGCGACTTACAGCGAAGGCAAGAGGAGGTAACGGAGATCATGCTAAAATGACTTACTAAACAGTTGTCTTTGAGAACAGTCACATAGCAAGGAGTTAACATGAGGTTAAAGTCGAACTAACAGTGGAATTCTTTTCATTTTTTGTGTTATGAAATAAAAACTGTGAGGTTACTGCAGCTATAGCCCTGCTTGTTAAGGGGGGAAAAAACTAGAAAAAACACAGTCAGTCACAGGCCTAGTCACATATTGTTTAAAAAGCCAATAGCAGATAGAATAGGACAGCTGGAGAGTGTTGCAGATATGTGGAGCTCAGAAAATGAATTCTGCTTCTCCTTGGGAGGCCTGGATGGTTCATAATGTAGCAGCAGATTAGAAATTTGTTTTGGCGCGACACCAGTCGGTCCTTTATAAACCAGTATTGTAACAGCACGAAGATCTGACAACTGGTGCGACTTGTTCCACTTTCTTTTGTTCGTGAGGCCTCTGACAGCAGAAACTAAGGAGAATGGATTGTTTTCTATGTGTTCTTTTTGTTAAAAGGATTTAGCGCTTCGAGGACAAATCACCATGCTCCCCCCCCCCTGTTTTTCCAATCTAATCCTGGTTTTTCAATTTATTCTTCTTTTTGACCCAGATAACCCAATGCAGCACATATCTCCTGCCTGCAGGTAGCCAGTGCAGATACTCTACTTGGCAGTCCCACTGTTTCAGGAACAAGAGATAATTAAATGGAATGAGATGTAAATGTTCTTAATCAATGATTAATGGTTGCCTGTTCACTACTTGGCGCTCCAGGCGAGGCTCTATCTAAGGCTTCAGTGGGAGGTTCATGCAGGGAGGAAGACGCTCATTTTTCAAATCCTTACAGTAATTTATTCTAAACCGTATATCTCATCATCGAAGAAGACTTTGGTATGTCTGCTGTTTGAATGCAGAAGTGTTTTTCATACTTTTGTCTTGCTTTTCGTAAAAGGAATTCATAAATGCTGTATTACAGAGTCATTTCAGTTATTTAAGATTTCAGCATTTTGTATCTGTGTAATTGTTTGATCGCCTAAAGGAACCAAGATAATGTTCAGGAAATTGCTGCCTGGCTTGATAAATAGGAATAGGTGAAGCAGGTAAACCACATCATGAGAGTCAGAAAATAGTCATTCTCCCGTGAGTCATGCGGCGCGGTCAACGGGGCGCTGACTTGTCACCATGGTGACACATTTTCCCACTGCCAGATATTGTCATTTCCAGAGAGCGCTGGTAACACAGGCTCATCACATCCAGTGGAACTGATGCACAAACACACCTGGACAAACTCTTCGTTACCCTTTGGAAACACAGACGCTAATAATAGGTTAACTTCGAGGAGCACCACAGGCTTCATTACTCAGAAGCTAAACATATTAGGGAGAAATACCCAGACACCATTACCTGACTTCTTTTGGCTTTTAGATGCTTTGACATTTATCATTCAATCATCTGTGTGCACTGTTAACACACTCACACACATCTGTCTCGGGCTGCAGGTGACTAACCAGTTAACCTGTAAGCTATATTGACTGATAGAGGAGTTTAAATTGGTAAGAAATCAAATCTGGTGATTCACAAGCTTTCATTACTGGTGGCAGGAGATGTACTGGTAGGTTTCAAAAGCTAAGCACAAAGTAAAGTTGAGGTTGGTCATAAACCAAAGTATTGGATAAATGAACATATTTTGACCTGATGATTGTCCTAGATGAACAGTCACAGGATCACCAAAGTTATTAGAATTGATCCACAGTAGAAGCTAGAGGCACTAGAGGAAAGTCAGTGGGCCATCAAAATCAGCGTGATTCATCCTATGGGGACAAAATGTCACGGCAATCCATCTGATAGTTGTTAAGATATGTAGTCTGGACTGAATTGGTGGACCAACCAACCGACTGACATCAGCATCGTTAGAGCCACTAGCATGGCTAAAAATCTATGCCTGTAGGATAAAACTAGCCAGACCAGAAAACATAATTTAATAGTAGGTCTAATGTAGCATAGGCTATTCATATGTTGAACAATTTGGACAATTTCCACATTTCATAGTAGAATAACACTTTCCTATTTGACAAAGCCTTTATTAACTGCTGGCTCAGTTGAACCCTGAACCATCCCTTAATTGTGCTGCTATAGACTGCCGGGGGACTCCCCATGATGCACTCAGCTCCTCTCTCCTCCTCTCCCTCTCCATCTCTATGCACTCTCATCTCATTAATGCACATTACTAACTTGACTTCTTTCTCGTCGCTCTCCTCTGTCCTCCAATCGCTTTCTGCAGGTGTTATTGGCTCCAAAGCTGTGGGATCTGGATCTGTGGTTGCGGGCTTCCTGCTGCCTCCACTTTCCTGCTCAAAACCTGCTGCTATTATTATTAGTCCTATCATTAGTATGATTATTAATTTTCTGTCTGTACCACTACCACCTTTTGCTATTTTCGTATTTCATTATGGATATTGTGTTGGGCTACTTCTCTCCCCCCAACCGGTCAAGACAGATGGCCGCCCACCCTGAGTCACGGTCCTGTTTTCTGTTAATAATAATACAAAGAATACGGTCTAGACATACCCTATATGAAAAGTGCAATGAGATAACCTTTGTTATGTACTGACACCATATAAATTGAACTGAACTGAATTACAGTTCCTGAAATGTAGGACCCCAGGAGCTAACTGCCCCAATAAATCCCATAATTCTTGCACAAGCCTAAAGCACAACTAAGCCAGGCAGCACATGCAGGTCCAGATAAATAACATCTCTGTGACACTGAAACCCCCTGCTTTTTAGGCATTGGTGATCTGTGCAGCTCTCCATCAACTCAAAGCTAAAGAGGAGGCCTGAAGAATTTTCCAATGAGGTGGCATGAGCTCGTCTCAAAGTTGCCGATGAGATGCACAGCCACATCGCTGCAACATTCCTGACAGCCACTTGTGTGAACTTCCATCTGTCTGCTGTCCATGCACCAGAGGTTTCATGACAGGGCGGTGACAGCAGAGTCACAGATGCCGTCGCGGAGAATGTCATTGCTGACTTGAGAATATCCACGTCCCGCTGTCTGCAAGAAATATAACTTCAGCCTGATGAGACAGAGAATGGGGAGGCTAAGGATTTGATTTGTGTGTGTGTGTGTGTGTGTGTGTGTGTGTGTGTGTATCCATTTTGTGTGTATTTAGAAGCCAGTCTCTGTCTCAAAGACATCCTCATTATGTCACCAGGTGGTTGTTGTTCCACTAAACAATGGTCATCATGAGTGGGATTAATGTGGCTTAAAATGCTGCAGCAGGTGAGTGTCAATTATTCACACATTTAAAACATGGGAATAGTTTGTCAGAGAGCATATGAGCAGCACATTCTATGTCTCCTAATGACTTTGGTGATCTCCTGAACTTTTACTCTAGTGCCTCCATCAGGTCAAATCATACAATTTGTTCAATACTTTGCTGATGTCAAGATTTAGCATGACTGTAGTCTTGTTGTTTAACATTTTTAAACTGGTATTGGAAGAAAACACGCCCTGCAATGGACTGGCGACCTGTCCAGGGTGTACCTCGCCTTTCGCTCGATGTCAGCTGGCATTGGCTCCAGCCCCCCGCGACCCTGTATGCAGGATAAGCGGTTGGCGATGGATGGATGGATGAAGGAAGGAAGCACATGGCTGAAATGCATCCAGATTATCTGCAGTCTGACAGGAAACTTCCATCATTGGGAAAAGTCTGGTTTGATGCCATCAGTTTGCTATGAATGTAACAGATGTGGTAAATGTTGTGCAGAACACAGAGCCAGAGCAGGTAAGACAGTTCTTTGGTTCATAAGAGGAAATAGTTTTGCCTCTCCTGTACTGGAGCCTTATTTTGGCTTTCCATTACTAAAGTCACCAAAATGATCAAGACACGAGATGATTCAGTGCGCATCCATGTTTGGTTTTCATCTCTGTATTATTAAGCACCAAGGTAGATATATTGGAATTTACCAGTACAATCAGAGTCTCGCTGTCATACCAGTCAGACTTTGATGTTGAGGGTAAGGCTTTTTACAAGTCAGACACTGAACTGGTAATTATGACAACATGAACATAAGGCATAAGGCTGAGTAGCACACCACACAGTCTGGCAAGTAGGAGCTGTGGGTTGACTAGTTTATATAATAGTAGGTGGATGATTAGGGGAATGTGGGGCAGGTGTACAGGCAGGTGACTATAGGGACAGGCAGGAAAACCTGGGGACAACTGCTGGGTGATTAGGGCATGACAAGGGGTGGTGTGACAGGAAATGTTTACAGCAGAGGATAGAGTAAGTAGCAGAAAAAGATGCAAAAACATCTGAGTTGGCTCTATAAAAAAAAAACATATGAGGGAAGGTGCTTTTCATCTGAGATTATGCAGTAAATATCTGAATCATGCACAATATGTGCACACATGTCACAACATAGCTTAAGTGTGCAGCAGCGCTGTGCCTCAATAATGCACCATGTCATCTTTTCTAATCTGGGATTGACTAATCCCCTAGCGTTCCTGATCCAGGCAGGCAAGCAGACAGAGGGAGAGACAAACAGGTCTCCTGGGCTGTGGTGAGCAGATTCACTATGGATGGTACATGTTAATCCTGCTGTCTCTTTGGGTGCAGGGTGGTGGGCTCTGCGGAACATGTGCACCACCATGATGGTTCTCTCCACT